AAGAGCACCTACAGACTGTATCCCTGTGAAATCCTGGTGCTCCTTTCCTGTCACTTACACACACTGCACAACAAAGACAGCATAGAGACAAACACTCTGAGCTACCTCTGGAACAGAAAACCAGTAGCATTAGCATTGTTAAGGCTCATTAGCCATGCTGAAAGGCAGATCTGGAGTAGAGTACTGTCATGCTTGACCTAACAGCTCAGCTTGGTTTGGTTCCAGATAGTCTCTGGATCCTCATCTACTGCATGGGCCCAAGCATGCCTCAAAATAATCCCACTCTGTGATGAAAGGTGCTAGTTGTATTTTAAGCAAATTAGATCCTATTTTTCCACCCAGATTCCACCCTGTGCTGCGGAACCTCAGCTACTCTGGCTCAGCTCCACCACCTTGTTTACCAGAGCACCTCCTCTTACCTTCTGCAGTGGGTGGACTGGAGGCTGCAGCACTGGTTTGGGCTTGTTCAGAGTTGTGGCATGGAGCTGCAGGGCCAGGATATCCCCAGCAGTGCATCCATGGGAAGGGTGGAACACCATGCCGCATTTTACGGAGCCAGCGTCCTCGGGGAAGCCACTGTAAAGGGTAATATTCATGTGACTCTCTTCACACAGGCAGATTCTGAGTAACTGAAACAACTTAAATTTGAGGAATATCCCACGCATTAGTTCCTCTCCATAGATTTTGCTCACCTCAAATGGATTCAGCAGTGGACTTTGAAACATCACCATGTGGTGCTCCTTATGGATGCCTTTACCCTCACAGGTGCTGCACAGGTCATAGTCTGGACAGACAGTGCACTTGAACCTGGCACCCACCACCGGCCCTTCACAGCCATCACAGATCACATTGGGGTGCACCATGTCACGGGGAGGCTCCTGGCTGCATTGCGAGCGATGTTCTCGCCTGCACTCCTTCTTTTCTATTAAGGAAAGGAAACTTTGCATCAAGAACGAGGTTACTATTTAAAGGCTGGAAATCGGGCAGAGGAGAAGGAAGCACAAACAGCCCTTGTCAGAGCAGTATTGACTTACTAGGTCAGTTTATTTTTACACCAGCTGCCAAACACGAGCTGAGGACACACCAGAGAGCTTAAACCAAGTGCAAAGGCGTTTCACAAAGATACCTGCTCCTCAACCTGAGCATAGCTCAACAATCTCCTGGCATGTTTATTTTAGATTAGTACTGCAATACCCCATTTGGCTTCTCATCCTACCTTCCTAAGCACTGCAAGAACAAAGTGTTTCTGGAGAGGGAGTTAGGAAGAAATGCCAGGAGGCATAACAGATGAGAACAGGGACACCACCGCTGGCTCATGTGACTCATTAGAGGGGAGTGCAGATAAAGCTTTGCAGGTACCTACACGAACAGAAGGTAGCACGGAGCAACTACACACAGAAGAATACACTGGAATTAAGGCATCCTAACACTTTGTTGTGAATATTACAAGATACCCATGGCTAGTCTAGCATTTCCAGGGAGCCACCATGACAACAGCGGCTCACAGCTGAGATGACCAGGTTAGGAGGAAACTTGTGATCCACCTGAGCAAGACAGATTCACATTCTGGCATATTACCCTGCCCTTTATTTAACCTTCCCCTGCGGGCTGCAGGTCACACCAGGCCCTTAGGACAAGGGAAGGGCCAGGGCTGGCTTCTCCCATTTTCAGAGGCCTGCCAGCAGGTACAGAGGGCACAGCCGGACCGCCCTTGGGAGCCGCGCAGCGTTACCTTTGATGTAGACACGAAAGACACCGTCCTGCACGTAAGGCATTGCCATCTCCAGCTCCTGATCGGTGGAAAAGGCGATCAGGTCCCCGTCTTCATCTAGAGAGGGCAAAGCGCACAATTAGGTGCCCAGTCAGGCGTCG